GTCAGGATGGGCGGGGCTGTGCTGCAGTAACAGAGACGCTCAGAACCTCAAGGGCTCAACACAGCGAAGGTGATGTCTCGCTCTCTCCACGTGTCTCCTGTGGGGCGAACGCGGGGCTCTGCCCCTCGTGGTGAAGCAAGGACCAGGCTGAAGGAGTCACATTCCTGCTCGGATCTTCTGTTTCTAGCTTCTGTGCTCAGTCCTCATGTAACGATTTCGATAGCAAGCATGATACCCACAGCACCAATCACAAGACGGCTGCTGCCACCTGAGTGCCTGCTCTGGGCACCTGTCCAGCTTTATTAAACAGCCCTTCCTCCCTGCCTGAGTAGCAGACCAACTGAGGGAAAGGACAAAACAAGGCCTACGGGGACACGCAGCGCCTTCGTTTCTGATAAAGCTGGTATTGGAGCCTGGGGCTTAGTTCTGCGGGACAGCGGGCTTCCAGAAACTGGCCCCTGAAATAGCAGCTTCATGCCCCGCAGCACTGTGAGACCAAGGCTGGGCCTCCCCGTGGCCAGACACCCAGGCCGCAGGAAGACTTCTGGGCTGCCAGGCCCAAGACAGGAGCCACTGTAGAAACAAGCCATCTCATGGAGTCCACATGGAAACTCCGCAACGTAGATATTCTTTCTCACCTTTTGCAGATGGGGAAACTGAGGCACAGAGAGGTTGAGGAATCCCCCCAGAGTCGCACAGGCTGCTGTCTCAGAATATCTCTCGTGCTATAACACTGCCAGTCTCCTGCCACCCTGGGCTGCTCCTGTGTCCTGCTGGGGAGGGAGCTGCCTTGGTGAGAGTGCCTAGCTCTAATTTCTCCATCAGTCCTCCCAGACTTGGCTCAGTTTCATTCAGAAGCCGTCCAGGCAGGGCCTGGCTGTGAGTGCGGCCCGTGCTCTGCCTGCTGCCCCGATTGTGACTACCCAACAAGGAGCAGCAACAGAAAGGCCCCAGCCTCTAAAGGGGCTCCCACGTGGTTCAGCGTGCGGGTGTTTGTGGATCGTTTCTGAGGGCTCCGGAAGGGACTGAAGGTGCACACTCCCCACGAAGCAAGGGATCTAAGGATTCTGCACCCGATTCCAGAGCGTGGGGGGTTTTTCCCACCACCAAACAATTCTCCAACCCCAGATGGGTGTCCTAATATTCAACTCAACTCCGATACCGTCCACCTGGAGACAGCACCTGATCCCACAGGTTAAGGGCTCAGTCCCACGAGACTGCCCCCCACATCCCACACTTCAGATGCCAATCGCAAGTCCAGGTTGTCACCTGTGCTTCTGACCCACAGGCTGTAGAATGGAGCTTCCCACAGCCCCCTCACTGAGTCAGTTAATTTGCTAGAACTCAGGGAAACATTTTACTTACTGGATTATTGATTTATTGTAATAAGATTTAACTCAAGAACAGCCAGATGGAAGAGATGCAGAGAGCAGGGTCCGGGGAAAGAGCCAGGAGCTCCCGCGCCCTCTCCCAGCTCATCACTCTCCCAGCACCTTCACGTGATCACCATTTGGAAGGCTCTGGAACTCTGTCCTTTAGGTTTTTATGGAGGCTTCATGACATAGGCATGATTTATTAAATCATTGGCCACTGGTGATTGAACTCAATCTCTAGCTCTCTCCTCTGCCTAGGGGTCTGGGGTTGGTTCCCCTGGCAACCAGCCCCCATCCCTAGATGACATAGGAGCTTCCCTAAATCCACCTCACTAACATAACAATAAAACCTTTATGGTGCACATCACTTAGGAAATTCCAAAGGTTTTAGGATCTCTGTGCCAGAAACAGGGATGAAAACTAAATACATATTTCTTATTATAAGTCAGAGTATCGCAGCCCCGTTCATTACGTGTTATCCACCACCATGGACCACCGTTCGAGGAGGGACCTGCTCTCCTTCTCCCTGTGTCCAGGATACCGCAGATACCCTGCAAATATTTGTTTTTCCTTGTGTGTGCCCACCCCATGGTTTGTGGAGAGGATCAAGTGAGCTCATGACATGCAAACCAACATGAGATCTGTGTTTCCTGCCTCTGAATCAGCGCACACGTGTGAGAGCCCAGAAGCACCCCTGACCTTTGTCCTCATTTGATGCTTGAGGCTCAGTCAGGACAGAGCTTGCACTTCAACTCAAATGTTCATTTATTTGTGCTTAAATCTCACTGGTGTGTCTTTTCCCTGCAAACTGTCAGAGAGGTGTAAATGTCACTACTGTGTCGTCCGCACTGAGCCGGGGCCTGCTCGTGTGTATCCCTCTTCTGTGTCTCAGGGCAGAGCTGGGTCCCTGCCTGGAGATGGAAACTGATCTGGAACAGCCCAGAACCCCCAGCAGCTGTGCTTCAGCTGGGGTTAGGGCAGAGAAGTGGACCCTGTGAGGACTGCGAGGTTGGAATCGTCCATACGGTCTGAGCTGGACTGGAGAATGTATGATGTCATGGCAGCCCAGGCCTCAGAGTGAGGGGCCTGCCTTCTGGGCTGTGCTGGCGGGTCTTCCAACCCGCTGGGCCTCCATTTCCCCAACTGTAAATTGGGGAAAATGCTTCCCAGCCTGTGATCTTCAAGGACCTCTTTTGAGGGTGAGACTAGACAGTGAATACATTTAAAAACTCCAAAGAACAGGCGACGCTGAGGTTTAGGCTGTCCTGCCTGATGTCTGGCACACTCCCGTCCTCCTGATGACAAGGTTGCCCAAACACTTTGCTGGTCCCGTGAATGGACCGTGGTGGTTCCCATATGAGCCAAGGAATGCCCCTGTGGGAGCTTGAAGCTGGTTTGAATTGGGTCTCTGCCAAGCAGAGTCCAGAGTAACGTAATGACAGGCCACTCTTCAAGGTAAATGACGGTGTCTTAGGTGAACGTCCTCAGCTCATTCAGCCATCTTGGCGCTCCCTGGACTCAGGAATTCCGCTGGCCTTGCGCCTGCCCCTTTCCTCCTGCAGAGCGCCAGTGTCGGGGACTGCGAGGTGTGCTCCAGGCTGTGAGCTCTTTAAGCTCGGGTGGGAAGAGCTCTAGAAGGAAGCAGGATCTTCTTGCAGAGGCTGCCTGGGCGTGTGCTGTGGGCGCCCAGCATTCTGCACCCTTCGAGGAGGAATCTAGCTCTGTCTGAGTCCAGCGTGGCCGTCTGGTAGGTGGCGTGGGTGATGTGGTGAGGTTTGGAGGAACAGGTGGAGCCCTTGCCGCCAGCTCTGCCACTAACCAGCTCCGTGACCTTGAGCAAGACAACCAGCCTCTCCGAGCCTCGGTTTCTTCATCGGTACCATGTGCCTATGAGAGGAGAGCAGCTGCACTCGCGACATCACAGGGCTGCTGTGAGATTAAACAAGAAAACGCTGGATAGCCCCTCCCAGGGAGCCGGGCTTACAGAGGGAGCTCATGGATGCAACAAAAACAGTCCCTGGTATTGGCACCTGCTCTGCTGTCCTTTAAAACCTGTTTCAACTATCTGACGTGAACCTCACACCAACCCAAGGTCGGTTTTATAAACACGATGAGGACATGGAGGCTCAGAGAGGGCTGACAACTCACTAAAGTCACACAGCTGGAAAGCGGCAGAGTCTGAGCTTGATCCAGGGCTCTAGACCCTCGGGTCTGGTGTGATTCTAGGTGCTGACGATGTTGGTGTCAGTAATGGAACTGGTGGAAGGTGGAAGTCTCTAGGCAGAGAAAGCTCAAGAGGATATGAGGCTTATTTGGGAAACAGTGAATCCTTATCCATTGTATTAAATTATGTGACATGACACATATGTGGCCATTTTGACTTAAAAGGTGTACATTTCACATGACTCAACCTACATCTTTAGGTCCGCGTCGTCCCCAGTGAGTGGCTCAGGTGGTGACGACTGGATTTGCGTGGGACAGGGCAGCCCTCCCACAGGACACGCACATTCCGCTGGGAGTTGAGGGACTGGCTCCCTCAGCCTGGGGGTCCAGCAGGGCTCCCTGACGGCTGCGGCCCTTCAGCAGGGCCCTGGAGGGCGGGAAGGAGCCACACGGCCCTTCCTGAAAAGGGCTGCTCCCAGGACGGCCTCTAGCTGTGGCGCAGGAGCTGTGGTTTCCCTCTGAAGACCCCAGGGTGGGCCAGGGAGCAGGTTGAAATGTGGCCCCCATCAGAACTTAGCCTAGGGAGGGCCGGTGGGGCCAGCGAGGGTCAGTGGTCTGCTCTACTTTCTCTCCCACGACCCAGGGATCGTCAGAATGACTCTCCAGAGCCATCCGGGGCCCCTTGGCCAAAGGGTGAGGGAGGAGGAGAGCACACAGGGCAAGAGTCTTGGGGGCCTGACAGTGCTGGGCGCGTTTGAGCAGGTGATGCACCCTCACCTGGGTCTCCTCACCTGGGGAGAAGAGTAACGAGGTCGAGGATTCCTGGGGCAGAGGTGAAGTGAGGAGGACGGAAGTGTGTACTCCCAGTCCAGCCCCACTGGACAGGGCTCCAGGGAAATCAGCCAGAGCCATTTACAGAAAAGACCCGTGAGCTGTTGGGGTCCAAGCCTGGCTCAGGTGACGATGTGGGATGGGAAGGACACCTGCTTTTCTCCCTCTGCTGCTGCAGATGTGGCAGCTCCATGTCCCCGCAGAGCTGAAGGCCCCGGGGGCAGCAGGGAGGCAGCCTCGTGGGCGGCACTGGCAGCCCCGCGGGGTGAGGGGCTCGTACAAGGCGGCGGGGGGTGCAGTGAGCACTGGCAGGGGTGGGAGCTTAGCAGGTGGAGCTGGTGGACGCGTGGTGGAGGTGGGGGCCTCGGGCTGGTCTCTGAGCCCGAGAGAGGCCCCCTTGGGGATTCCCAGACAAGACTGGGAGGCCTGGAGCTTTCCCATGTCAGTAAGCTGTGGGTTTCGGCCAACATTTCATCGTGGCCTAGCTAGCACGGGGCCTGGATGGTGTCAATGCCTGATCGATATTAATACAGCGGACACAAGAAAGATTGCTATGACCTGGGGTCACACACATCCTGAGGACGTAAAGGGAGACTCAGAGACAAGAGGATGAGGGACTTGCACGTCACACTCAAGCCTGGGCCGGGTCAGCCATTCTTTAATGTCCTCTAGGGCGGGGGCCTGGCCTGGGGTGGGGGCTGAACCAGAGAGGAAGTTATGTTTTGGTGGGATCCACCACCTTTCCCACGAAGAGGGGACTCTTGGTGTATCTGTCATAGATGATTAAGACGAAGGGCCTGTTGAACTCCACATTTGGGGGTGACAACACACTTGTCAACTTGACGATTTCCACGAGAGTGGCCCCGGCAGCTTCAGTCCCTTTCTCGTCGACGGTCAGCACAGCCTTGTGCACTGCCTGGAGGGGAGAAGCACAGAGGCCTGTCCTGAGCAGGGGCAGGGGGCCGCCCCCCACCCGGGCCTGGGAGCAAAGCCCAATGAGGAGGGGTGACCGGGAGGGCTCAGTCACTCAGGCCTTTCTCCACTCGGCCTGTCCCTCCCCGTCCTCGTCCACCCTCCCTGCGGGGGCACACAGGCCTTTCTCCACCTCCTCAAGGCCGTTGCCTGACTGCACCAGCGCAGCCTCACGTCTCCTCCCTGAGCAACACCCTCAGCCTCCCTGGGAAACAGCCCACAACCTCAGGAGGAGAAGATGTTCTTCGCTTCATCCTCCTTGGCACGTCTCTTGTTTCTAGTAGCAGATTTTAAGCTCCTTGGGGACGAGGACTGAGACGGGGACCTTCACAGCACCTAGTCCACAACCAGGTGCTCACTTCACACTGTCATTGACCCTCAGTTGTCTCTGGTCACCTTGAATTCTCCCGAATAAATGGCGTCTCAGCCAAAATCACGTTCACTTGGACTCAGCGATTCGCCAATAGCTCCCAGCGTCACAGGACGCCGGGGCCAAAAGTCCTCTGACATCCCCGAGCCAGGGGCTGACTTTGTGAATATGGTCCATCGAGGCCCAGAGAAGGGAAGGCCCTGAACGAAGACGAGACAGAGGGAGAGGCTCACCACCTCAGAGGAGGCCCCTACAATGCCCGAAGCCCGTGAGGCGCCTCCTGCACTCAGTCCTCTGACCGCACTCCAGTCTGGGTGACTCCAGTGGCCGTCCTCAGAGGACCTCCATCTGCAGGTGTGTTTGTGTGCTCACACTCACCCCTGAGCTGCGGCCCCCGGACACACTCTGACCTACAGACACAGGGACAAACTCACCTTAGACACCTTCAGGGGCACATCCTCAGTGATCCCCGAGAGGTCAGCCTGGTTGCTGAAGACCTTGGTGATGCCCAGGTTGCCCAGGACCTTTATCAGATCGTAGGTTCCAGAAATGGACAGTTTGGGCAAACGTAAATTCACGAAACTGTCACAATGGTTAGAAAACAAAGGAGTTTCAGAGCAATGAATGTGTTTCCTTTCTGGGCGTTTCTCCCACTTAGTGCCCTGTCCCCCTGCCCACACGAGGACGCGAGGTCAGCCTGGGTTTATTCTATTTTTAGCTCCTCCACACCCGTGTCGGAGAATGTTAGGATCACAGGGACCATCCTGTCCTGCAAAGCCTCTCCAACGCCATCTCCTCTGAGAAGTGTCGGGGTCTGAGTGACATCTGTTCAGTCAATGATGAGTGACCGCGGGGCTGGTTTTCAGCCCTAGGTTTCCATGGAAACAAAGTGTGGCCCCAGGAGGGTCTGACAGGTGAGCTGACTGGCACTCGGGGTCTGTCTGAGCCGTTCTGGATTCAGCCCCTCCTTGTTCTGTTCACTCAGCCTCTGGTGCAGGAAGACGGAGGGGGTGTGGAGAGGTACTAAAACTTCCTGTTTCATATTAACCTGTCCTCTTGTCTATTTTTATTTTCATATATATACGTTTATTATGCTTCTATATATGATTTATTTTACCTATTTTATTTCATTTGATTATTTACATGTATTTATATGACATATATTTATATATTGATGGATATTTTTATAATGTACATAATGGAATAGTGTAGGGGGGTGGGCATTTTATGAATATGGGGATATGCACTAATTTGGGGCGCATGCTCAGGTATGACTTCGCTACGAGAGCCCCAATCCGGCCACACTGATCTGGTGACAGAGGAAGCCCAACACTCTCAAACACGTGCTGCAGGTCGCCACTCCGGGCCTTCCCTTTTCCGGCCTCTCCGAACAGGTTCCCCTCCCCAGCCATGACCTTCCCTCCTCTAACTCCACATCAACTGCTACCCTGCCGGGAAGCCCACCTCTTCCTTTTCGGTTCTCCCACGGCGTGGGTTGGTGTTGCTCGCCCTGCACTGGGCCCGGGCACCAGGGAGGGGCAGTGTCCGTGCTGGGGAGGAAGTCCCCCGGGACAGGACTCTGGCCTCCTCACCCATGGGCCCTGTCCCTCCCATTGAGCCTGGCTGGTCTCCCTGAGCTGACGCTGGCCTCTGTCTGGAAGCACTAGGTCGTGCACAGGGGCTGTGGCCCGCGGGATGTGTGTCCACCCTCCCACCCTCTGGCCAGGCCTCGTGTGGCAGCTCCCGGGTGAGCCCTGGTTGGAAAGTCACCTTGAGGATCTGTTTTCCAGGAACGTGGCGAGGATTTCCTTGCTGAGCGTGTCCTCCAGGTGCTGCAGTCTCCCCTGGTCGGGCAGGATGAAGAAGGCGGTGGCGTTGCCCACGTAGTCCAGGAGCAGCACCCAGCTGGAGAGAGTGTCAGAGTGGTGGACGTCAAACCGGCCGTGGCCTTTCATCATGGGCACCCTGACTGTGGTGTTCTCGTCCACATGGAAGTCCTCGTCTGTGGTCAACTTAGCCTCGAAGGGCTTCTCCCATTTGCCTGGAGAGAAGGGAAGGTGGGCATCAGCCGGGGTGGGAAGAGGTTTAGAAAAGTCTAGTAGAATAAAAGAGCCCTGACGCTCTGAGGTGAGATGCTTCTCTCTGAGCCTCAGCTTTACCATCTGTAAAATGGGGCTAAAGCAAAGTCAGTCTCCGGAAAGGACTTTTGTGAGGATAGCGCAAGACGGGAGTAGGATCCAGAATTTCTAGATTGGCCTCTGTAAGGGATGCTGCTCTGGCTGAGCAGAGTAAGCATTTTTACTTGTATTTCATGCTTATTTATTCGAGGGTGGCTTAGGAGATTCTAAATGAAAATTATTGGCACCAGTCTTGATTGGCACCTCTTTGCCTGAGGCTCCCTGCCCCTTGTTACCCAGCAGTTCTCATCATTCAGGGAGATCATTCTTGTTCTTAACCTGATGGCCTTTTCCTGGACCAACACATGAAATGTGGACGCCTGGGCAGCTCCCCTCTGCTAGACCAACAGTCACCACCCTGGCAAGTCAGGATGGGCAGAGCCCCAGGGACCCAGAGCCCAATGTTCTCATTGGACGGGAGATGGAGATGGAGGCTGGAGAGGTGATGAGGCCCACCTCAAGCCCACAGCAGAGCTGGGACCTAGATGTGCTGACTCCAGCTCGGCCCTCACCATCGCACTGTTGCCTCAAGAGCAAGGAGCCAACAGTGTGGAGGAAGCAGCCCCCGGGTTTGACTCTCACCTCCCCTACCCCCAGCTATTCCTGTGGACTGTTTAAACTGCCTGAGGATGCCCTCTGGGGCCCACAGGTTCCTGACAGTGTCAGCACTCAGAGGGAGGAAGGCTGAGATCAAGTTTAGTTGAGCACCTACTATGTGAGCATGTGGTCCCATGTTCTCTGCAATGTGTTCAATTCTTACAGAAACCTGACAAGGGAATTATTATGTCCATGTTACAGAGAGGAAACTAGAACCTCCAGGAGGTAAAATGACTTGCCCATAGTCAAACAGCTGAGAAGCAGTAGAGGAAGGATTTGAACCCTGGTCTTTCTGACTCCAAAGCTGTCACTGTCTCTACTACACTAGAGTTGTTCAAAGTATGTTTCATGAAACACTATTCCCTTCATACACTCTGTTACAATCTGTTTTTCTGGATCTCTATTTTGGGAGACATTGCATACGGAAGTCCCCTCCCTGGTAGGGATTTACAATGCACAATTGGACACTAAAGGCTCCAAAAAGTCCTGCAGAGAAGACAATGATTTGACACATGAAACTGTTGAACCCATCATTCCCTAACCTTATTGGATTGTGGGAAGTTTTTTAGTGGTTGTGTGTGGAAAATCGAATAACACAACCTGAGATCCTATCCTGCACTGCAAAGGAAAGTTTAAGAACTGAGTGTTTGAGAATATTTTTGGCTGCTTCCATGGGAACAAGCTCAGGTTGGTTGTGCAACCTTACCTTTAAAGAAAATGTAATTCACCAGAGCTAAAAGTGCGTCTTCGCTAAGTTCTTTGACCAAATCCACAATTTTTCCTTGGGTTCCCTTTTCTACATAATCGTTGATCTGTTTCTTGGCCGCTTCGGTGTCCTTGAAGTTGATGGAGAAGGCTTCTGAGTGGTACAGGTTCTTGACATCCTTCAAAAACTTATTCACTAGCTTCGCACTCTCATTGATGAACAGACCATTGCCC